GGGGGGACACGTAGTTGAAAATTATTCCTATACACATAAATGTAAAGATTTTCGATTTTACGTGTTATTGGTGTACTTGGATCTTTATATAAAAAACCGTATTTTCACTTTTCATGGAGTAGTTTATTTTAATAACTAAAACCGTATTATATGTCTAACCCGCAAATATAAAAAAAGATAACTATGCGACCACACGCCATCGCTTCCTTCAAAATAATTTAACTTACAATTTGGCATACCTAGTCAAATAATTGAGGCTCTCGTATTGTATATATATATATATACATTCCCAAACGCCATTAAACGGTTTGATGATTCATAATTTTACATATATTTTTTGTCGATTAAAAAAATGTTTTATGTTAATTTAATAATAACTAATAATCCGTGAGCAACTATCCTTGGGCGTTTAAGAAAAAGAAATATACAACCCACACATTATAATAAATTTAAGTTACTATTGTTAATATCGGTATCACTGAGTGTTAGTCATCGGTGCTGTATTTACACTAATATCACTCGTATATTAACTTTAAACTTACTGTAAAATCTGCAAGACTAGAAAACAACTTCATCGACGTCGTTAATGGACTGGGGACAGATTTCAGTGCACTCATATTTATTTATACATTTGTCATGTTTAATTCATTTTTTTTCTCTCTGACAGTCAAACTGTATTTTTCCGTTCTGCCCACAGTTGTACGATATGAGGGACGAAGACGATAAGATGGTTAGAATAATCCGGATGGTGATTAGCAGGCCGATAGCAGGAGACCATTTTAATGTAGACCAGTGCAAATCGCTATCGAAACTTTTGGATAGGGATGAGCTGGCAATCATCCCTGAGGGATCACGATATTGGCCCGATGGTTCCATGTATTTATATTTATTAGGAAGAAAGGCCAAAAGCTTTATGACTACAAATCCGGTTACTAGTCGTCCAACTACTACAACCAGTCGTACATCAACAACTAGCACTAGCCGTCCATCAACAATCACTACCACCAGACGTCCATCAACCACTATTACGACCACAAGTCCCACAACAACAACAACTGCAAAACCTGAGTCTAGTTTTCTCGAATTTTTGTATCGTGTGATTAAAGCAAAGAATGATGGTTTATTGCACTAATTTACACATTTTAATACATTAAATAATATCCCTAATTTTTCTCTGAGGTACCTACTCGAATTACGACTATTAATCACTATTACGATCACACGTCCCACAACAACTTCAACTACCACCCCTCCTTCTAGTTTTCTCAAATTTTTTTATTATTTTTATTCTTCACCGGCGCCGGGGTTTTCACAATTCCAAATTTAACAAAAATTATGTTGAAAACCTATAAATTAGACTTCAAAAATGATTGTACAGAAGTAAATATTTCTTTCGATCATTTTTGAGATAAAATACGTTGCCTTTTGGCAACGCTAGATGCTTATAATAACTTAGGTATTTCATACAAATACAATAAATTAATTTTGTAATATTTTCTTATATATTTTGTTATCAATGTTATAACATAAATAAAATATAATGTATTAAACTATGCTTGTTAATACTTTGTTCAAGATATTATGGAAATACAATATTGAATTCAAGTGAAAAAAAAATGTCACAGCTTGTACAATACACTTTTCTTGTGTTTAACTTGAGTGAAATGGAATAAAACAATCAATACAAAATAATCCTACATTGTCAGCACATTGTCCTCATAATTGACTTACAATCTTTTCCAGCACACCTTTTCTTTTTTTATCTTCAGTTTTTTTTTACCAAATGATGCATTTTGTTAAATCTGATTGAGTCTGAAACCCGACAATCAGTCGATCAAAATATTAATGTCGATGGTCTTAAGATTGCTTTTGGCACAGTTTGATACCTTCGTAAAAAAACATTTACGAGTTCTCTTTCGAAATCATGTTGCTTAATTCTTTTCCATCTTGTTTTGTTGTATAGAATAAAACTATTTTGGAGAGCTAAACGATCCACGTTATCAAAAATAATGTACCTAATTGATTTAATGTAATTTGTTTTACTATTAGACATTAGTACAACAGTGGGTAAAATTCATTTTTCGTCAAAAAAAAATATTATTTGAAAATGTCAAGAACACACAAATAATATTTTTAAGTTACAATAAAATAACTAAGATCGTTATTTTTGGTTTTAATATGTAATTTCGTCTAAATTTAAAATTAACAAAACTAAAAAAAAAATTGTTTTTATATATTTTTAGATTTTTTGGTCACAGAATTAACTACTTGCGTAGAACATTATTTGAAACTATTAATCCTTATCTTAAAAAGTTCAACATTTCATAAATTTTTACTACAAAATTATTTGTAAATTTTCAATTTAATAAATGTCGTCAACATCTAACTTCAAATACTTTTGAGCGTTTGAGCTCATGAAAATGTAATTTAGTTCTCTGATACGCATTTTTTTTTTTTGATTAAGGTAAATGTTATGAAAAATCTTGTATTCAATATTCAAATCTTCAAATAAAAATACATTTTTTTATGCATTTCCAACCAAAAATAATTTGCAGTCTCCTGATTTTTACGAATATTGTCAAAATTCTAATTTCAAAATTAAAAATTATTGCGAATTCACACTTTATCGTTTCCCTCAGAATTTAAAATTAATTACAAGTTTACGAGATTTGGGTGGATTTTTACAAAATTTAAAATTTAAACGCACATACAAAATAATCCAGATAACTTAATATTTTTGAATTGCTATTAAAGCAACTTATGAGGACTCTTGGCTCTTGCATTAAATTTACATATTTTAGCTCAATAAGAGTCAACAGTAAAAAAATTTAGATAATCATTTTTTTCAGTTAATATTTGTTCTTCTTGACGCTTTCGAAAAAATAATGAGGATTATCCATGGCATGGCTAACATAATATATTTGTCTATAATGTGTACCCTAAGTATTTGTTCTCTGTATCTTCAAACAGCGGAACAGTTCGGTTTTATATTCTATGTAATAACCTTTGTCCATTGACTGGTCTTATACAGTATACCCTCAACCAACCATACTCATAATTGTATTATTATTATTCGTCTGACATGGCTGAAGCGAATTATTAATTTTTTTATTGAATAACTAAGATTTAACTAAGACTGTTATTCATAAGGTAACTTTTGATAAAAATTTAAAATGTAGAAATCATAACGATGATAATAATATGAATTCAATAAATAAATATGAATATTTTAAAAAGTACTAAACATCAACATTGTTTGATTATACTTAATAGTTTATTCCATTGGCCATTATACTAAAGGGTAATGCCAGCACCACCACAGCCATCACAACACTTCAAGCGGCATTGCCAACACCATCACAGACAGGATAAGGTCAAGGAACGTGGCACGCAGTGGTAGAAGGTTCCACGGATATAGGTAATTATAATGCATGGTTAGGGAGTGCATACAAATTCCGTAAATATTGTGTCCGAATCGCATATCAGTCGACATTATTTTTTTTGAATTTTTCTAGAGTATTATTTTATCAGAACTTCCTATACTATTTTCGATTACAAATATTTTAGCCGACAGCATACTTTTCACCTACTATACAGTTCGGGAAAATTGTTTGTAGGCTACAATATAAGTTAGTGTTTTATAATAAAATGTAGTAAATATTTGTATTGTTTTGAACAAATTGTTTCGGCTGAAATTTTTTTTTGATCAAATACAAGTTATAACAAGGCAACTTTTTTCGGTAACTGAAAACAATTATACCTCCATACCGAACAGTGATCATTTTTAAGTTAAAAATATAAATCCTAATTCCCGTTATTGTGGCTTTAAGCACCCGGGTTTTTTAATGTCAAATCCTCGCCCCACTTACACGTGTAACCGAACCAACTGTATTCCCTTACATATTTACAATAAAAAAAAAACAAAATTATAACCAACACCCAATGGCCTATGTTGCTTCGGGTTGAATAATAAAAGAAAATATCTAATATATACTAATTAACATATACAATAATTTTGAAAAAAAATTTCAGGTTTTTGTTGGCCAATTTTGATATGTTTTTCTCAAGTTATGATTACGTCTCAGACGAGGAAGATGCATAAAATGTATGTTTACATATTGTTTATAATTTAGTATTTAAGAAAATCCATGTACATTGTAAACTATTAAATATTAGTTTACATTGTTTCATAACCAGTTATTAAGGCATTTAGATACATAATTTTATGTAAGTATATTTAATCCCTCGTTTATATGTAAAATATTAACAAAGCATTTGATGGTTATTCTTAAGTAGTTATTGATTATGACAAAAGATTTCCATTTAATTTATCATGAACTTAAATTTTTGTGGTCATATTATTAATTATGACTAAGTATATTTATATAATTACCTACATAATTTTTGTGTTCTATATAATTTTCATATATGTATTTGTATTGCTGGTACTATTACCATGTGTTTGTTTTGTATTTAATATTTATACACCTGATTATTTAATATATTTTATCATTTATAATTTATTACGAACCATACGTTCCTCGTTTTAAATATTATTTTTATTAAGTCGTTTTGAACGCTAATGTATCATTTATAGAGTCTAGTTTAAAAAAAAAAGAACACTACAAATATCGCGTTTGGTAACTAGCAGCTGATGCCTGATCATCCATCACCTTCGGATCTGCATACGGAGTTGCATAGTGCGTCCAGTTCTCAGTCAGCGCAAAGTGAGGAATCACGGGGGAGTATGTTCAAACACGGACGCGTTTTCTCACCGCCGACGTTTCGTCATGCTTCCTCCCAGCGGCGAATCGGACGCAGTTTACAGGTGAGGTGGTTTATCACCTCCGCTGTTGACCAGCGCCGAGATGTTCATCGTGGCGTAACAGCCGTTGGCAATGCCGCCGGCGTCCGTTCGGTGATTTTTTCGTTAATGATTTTTGATATAATTGGCTGGCAATATTGCTACAATACTACTCAATCTCAAGTATACAATCGCTTTCCCACCATGGTTTATTAAATTTCTCATTGGTCACCAATCATTGACAAATGGCGATCCTTAGTATAGGATTAAAACAAATATATTTATACTGCTATTCATTGCAAAATTAGACAAATGTTCATAGATCGGAACTTAAATTTTCTAAATTTCACTCAATGATCCTGGAAGAGATTTGATTATTCCTATTCTATTAATGCTAATCCCTTATTATGAGTTGATAATTAAGTATCTGACTTAGGGACACATTTTACTTCGAATTAAAGTTTTATTCTCATTTAGACATTCTAAGTTGCAAAGCAATAAAAATAGCTAGATATTGTTATTATATTGTACAACTTAAATAATATATTATTGTTAATCTGTGTCATTGGGCTTACCCCAAATTGTTGAAATAATAAAAAAAAAGATGTAATATGATGTACAATCTGTATGTTTAATTATATTGTAAATAATTCTGGTTCAAAAAAAAAAAAATAAACTCTCATTGTAGGACCAACCAAACAATATCGCTTAACAGTTATGTTCATACTAATATTCGGTTACTATACTATTGTTGTACCCCCGGAGCGTATTATCATTATTATTATACAATTTACACGTTTAATGTTAAAAAAAATTATTTTGTGCGAGTCCCCCGAACCACCTAGGGTCATGAAAAAGAGTTTACATCACTCTCTGAGACCTACTTAATATACACACAAAATTTCATGAAAATCGGTCTAGCCGTTTTGGAGGAGTTCGGTATCAAACATTTTCCATTGTGACACGAAATTTTTATATATTAGATAATATAATATGCTATACAGAAATGTATGGCCGAAACGTAACAGGCCAGTCGGTGCTTGGGTCAGGCTCATCGAGTATAAAATATTTAACAATAGAGATTCAACGGTGACGTATAATAATATGTAAACCACACCGATCAATCACTTATGAATACGCCCACGCATTTATTTGTATTTAATGGAGTCATGGAGATCTTCAATTTAAGCGCCACTGAGTACCAGGATCTCATCAAGGCGTATAGATAATAATAATATAAATAATATATTTTATATTATAAGTTATACACCTTGGGGTCTCTCATGAAGACATTACGAAGCATAATATACTGTATAGAAAGTGTCGCTAACATTTTACAACAAGTGAGCTACATTAAAATTGTTAGGTATCTAGTGATCGACTACAATTTTTTTAGGTAGTAATATTATTATATTATGCAGAATATTAGCATAAGAATAAATTGTACCTATGTCTAATAATACAGTCCGCTCTCCCCCCTCCCCCCAACTTACAGGGTTATCGAAGATTCACTTTGTAGCAACGCGAAAGTAATCCCACACGACGCGTTGCGTGTAGGTCGCCGTCCGTGCACACACACAATCACGCGCATACTC